AAGACAAGTTATGGTTCAGTTATGTTAAGTAGTGTAATTTACAAAATCCTGTATCTTTTCAGTAAGTGGTTATGATACCTAACTAAACAGAACAAAAATTACAAGCCCAGTCAGGGTAAACGTAAAAATCATACTCCACGAACTCAGCCAGGAGAAAAACAACAAATATGTCTTCCTAAATGTCAGTAAGGTCTTTAACACAGTCGATCGCTGGACACGTACACACGAGTTGCATTTAAACGTGTTATTACCGAAATAAATGGATCGAAATTTCCCAGAAAATAAAACCTTTGGCCTAAATATTCGACCTGATAAGAAAATAGGTCATTAGTCTGATGTCATCTGTGCCGGGGTCGTCGCTCGTTTTCTTCGGTAATAACTATCTTCTATAGGTAACTTATGCAAAGTGAAAATACTCTCAGGAACATTAGAATTTCATGCTACATGTGGGGCTATGTTTAAATTCAGTAAAATCTTATTTCTGCTTAGATTAACAGAGGCGACCGCGCTGCAAACGAACCGAAAGGTCCGTTGATCGGAAGTTATACAGTTAGGTCTACAATGCACACAGCATGCAGAATCTGCTCTTAACCCTGAATTTGTATGTATACATGTATGGAGCCACAATTCATATGATAAAGAGTTGTTTTTACGCAACCATTTTCATACCTGTTAAAGTTTACACGACTTCCCTCCGACTGCTCTTTTTAGTTTACCTGTCTATATTTTTGATGTTTTCCGTCTTATTTCTTTTTAGGAACAGCCTCCGCGATTGATCATCTGCTATAAACTTAACTGCTTATATTGGGGGAGGGGGCATAGTTCTGCGGATTCTTGAAAGGAAAGTAAATACAATTGCCTTAATCGGAACCTTAGTGACCACGATTTTTTTGAAGTTTTGAACGTAAAGCGACCCTGATAGAATAGCCAGCTCGAGTGTCACTTATGCAAGAGTCATGAGCAGTTGGGTAGAATACCGTACTGAATAGCTAGGCCGGCAGCCTCCAATCGAATTAGCAATTTAATCTAACACCTGCGCGGTCCGTTTCGAGTTCTTTGCAGCTAAAGCGTTTTTCCTCGTCATTTGCAATATCTTTTGGCTAGGTAAAATTTACAAACGGAGCACCTAGTAATCGACCACCAGGATCAATTTTACATTTCAGAGAAGATGCAGATACGCTACGAAGGGTGAATAAAACAGGACAAAATTGGAGCCTTTCAAACATGAGAGTCGAAGAAATGAATGGCCAACTCATGCGGCCTCTAATGCTATAGCATTAAATCAGGGTCAAATTTCATTTAGGAAGCTATTAAGTCGTGCACTCTCTTACAAAGGAGCCAATTTTTAAATTTAAACATCGCAATAAGCACAGAAAATAGGAACAACAATTACTTATTGTTGAAAATATCCGACGACAACGCGCAC